AGACCCTTTGGATCATTTTGCAGATTCCGATGAAGTTTCGTCATATGTCGCCGAGATGGGTTCTCCTTCTCATGATAGGCCATATCAGCCTCAACCTTCGGCATATTGGGTTGCTCAAGATGATACTGATGTGCTACAACCACTACCACAGGTTGGAGAAGTTCGTAGCCCTCGAGATGGTGACATGCTAATCGAAGAGGCTTCTGGTCCGGTGATTCCTAGTCTTCCTTCTGAAAACCCAAGTCTATTGCCGAGTGAAGGGTTATCTTCGTCGCGAAGATCTCATCCGGTGCTTCAGTCTGGTCGGTCTGCTGGTTCCAGCCCTGATGATAATGGTTCTATTGCGGATGCTTCGGCCCGATCTGTCGGATCACGACCGTCTTCTTCGGCCCGTAGTCAAATGCTTTCTGCCATATCAGCTGGTTCAAGTGGTTCTAATATTCCCCATTTGTCCTCGGGAGTTATGGATCAGCAAGACCGCTCACCTCAAGTTGTAGAACCTGCGATTTTGCCTGAGTCTGCTCCCCCAGGTTCGCCGCCGCCCCGTACTACTCGTACTGGTCGTGTGATTCGTCCACCTCAGAAGTTCTCCCCTTCTTGGAGACCTTCAAGAGGTAGCACTAAGTAATTAGTAGTGCTAAATCCTCCTTCACACCCTGCAGTAGGATTCTGCGGGGAGGGGAAGTGATGGATTTTATTGTCTCACTCTACTAAGGTACCTCTAAGTTTTGGTATTGAAGTTCTGCTTGATGGTATTCAAGATTTGTAACTTCTTAATTGTATTTGAGATCTCTGACATATTTGATTGTATTTAAGACCGGTATTGTAATTGACGTCAAGTTGTGGATCGTATTGTCCTAGTAGGGCTGTGCTATCAGGCCCTTGTCTCTTGGGTGTGCGTACACCCACGTTAGTGCACTTGGAATATTGGAGTGGATGATTTTCACTGAACGTTCTTTGTAATTTGTGAGTACTCAGTGCTAGCCTCCCATACCTGCCTATGGATGGCATGGTCGAGGCATGTTTCGAAGTTTTCGATAACCGTTTTAAGTCGAATCTTCGTGTTCGTGCGTACATGGCGCACGCACAATTGACCGTTTTTGCTAGAATGTTTGGCAAGAATGAGGTATATTATTGGTGCTTTTCATAAGTTTGTCATTTAATCTGCTCTTTCGAGATAGATGTTTTATCTCTCGGTTGCAGGCTGTTATCTAAATGCCTGGTGTACTAGCCAGACTTCAGGAACTCCTCAATGTTCAGCCCGAAAGGCGTGGAGACAACCTACGGTGCTTCTTCGACATCTTTAACCAACAAGACCCACCTACCCCGGTTTCGGCCCGTAACTACGACCACGCCCGGTTACTGATATCAATGGTGTGGTACGTAAGCTTCATGACCGTAATGGGCAATTGTTTAATGTCGCTCCGAACAGCGATGCTAGACATTCCCCCAAGTGGTTTTCGGCCCGTTCTGGATGGTTTTTCTAAAACCGATGATGACGTGGATAGGACTGAAGACTCTGCTCGACAACATTGGTGGAGACGTTCCTGAGCCTGTATGACTTGTTCGGCCCGTATTGCTCCTGTAATTAGTTGCAGTTCGGCCCGTTGCCAGCCATTGCCGATGATAAAGCAGATATGATGATAGACTATATGATGATTAGCGTATCTTTTAATTTAAGTTCGTGCCGAGGTTTTGCGGGGAGGGGATGTTATGGGACGATGTCCCAGAAGCGTCACTCGCCATGAAAACCTTCGGCCCGTCTTGTGTGTTGTGACCATTGCTCCATTTGTGTAGTACGCTAAGCTGTGTAGCTAGCACGCTAGAGTGTTGCAAGATCACTACTCATAAGTGAGTGCGGAATTGTCCGTAGCATTTACGGTTCTATCGTATCTACTGTGCACTGGAAGTGTACTCTAAGATTCAAGGTCTGGTTTGCGTTATCTACAAGTTGGGCTCTAACTTCAACTTCTTGCACTTGCATTCATACCTTGACAACGTGACGCGTGACGCGACGCGTGATGTGACGCGAGGGGTTTGAGCTATCTATCCGTTTTTTCCCATTCGTATTCGATAGCAATAATCTGCTTATCCCACAACGACTTTGAAGATGAGTTCAACTGAAGCTACAACATTGGGGGGGGGGGGGGTGATGATGAGGAACAGTGACCGATGATCGACGATTATCATACTTTTCCCCACAATTGTCATTCAACATCCCTTCGTCTTATCGCTCGCCCTACTCGTGTCCCGTGACGACACGCGTGACGTGACGCGTGATGTGACGCGAGGGGTTTGAGCTATCTATCCGTTTTTTCCCATTCGTATTCGATAGCAATAATCTGCTTATCTCACAACGGCTTTGAGGATGAGTTCAACTGAAACTACAACACTAGGTAACAGGTGGGTGCGCTTCACGTGACGCGCCTGGGAAGCAAGACGGGCACGCATGCACGACGAGTCGTTCGTTGGAAGAGCCTTTGAAATCGAAGCTTGAATGGGACGGCCTGGGCT